TTTTTTTTTTCTGATACAATAATTTCAGTGTTGAAGATACGTTTGAACAGAAAGATGATCTTTTCCTTGTTTCTATTTTGCTATTTGTTTCTTTGTAATAGCTACTACTCACTGACTCCAGCGTGCCCATCTGTCATCTCCAGCATTTCGTATATTGTTTCCAAAGCTAGTTGTGATTTAACGTGGTCTCTAAATAGGGCAAGTAATGAAGGATACTGCTTAAATCCCTCTGAGAGAATCTGCAGGACATCTGTGATCATTTGCACAATTTGGTTAGTCATAACCCTGGGAAGAGAATGTGGAATCTCTTAAGATATGAATTGTGATGTGCAATAGCTCTGTTTTGAAGTGCGTTCTAAAAGAAAACTGGCACCTAGGAATTGTAACATGGTATGGAAATCAGTGCATTCATACTTTTAAAGAGAACTGCCAAGATTTATTTTTTTCCCTTTTAAGGGAAAGGCTAATTTTTAAATAGAAGTTGACCAGATGCTTGTAAATTGGGATGCTTTCATCCATCTACAGATTTTATCTGATTCTTATTGAATGTCCAAAACTGATTCATGGTTGTTTTTTTTAAAGGGAACAAAACCCAAAACAGGGACAACAACAAACCCCCCAAATGAGAGCTTTGAGTACTGCAGCAATAGGCAATATTTTCATTTAAGGGGAGGATGGAGTTGTGTAGCACAGGGCATCTTTTTGAGCTGACAGAAAGAGCCTTTAAAGCACTTTACTATTGCTGTGATTTCTGCAAGTCTGAATTTGACATGTGACTATCTGCAGCTTTTAATTTGTAAAGGTATAAAAAAAAAAAACACCAAACAACCCACCAAACCACTTCATGAACTAGGGGATGCTTCTTTTGTGTGAGCCTGGTTCTAAAATAAATAGTCTACCACAGAAGTTGGTGCCTTGACACCTCTGGGTATAGTCTGCTCTGTAAATGACATACATATTTAGAAAGCTGGCTGACAAAATAGCATGTCTAGGAATTTCTGTGCAATGAAGGATATAAATGTGAAAAACGAGATTCTGATAGTTTTGTATTTTTAGGGAGATTGAAATTCACTTCAGGTTAAAGCCCACAAAGTCATGCACGTTGGAGAGTAGTTACAGAAAATACTGCTCAAGTTGAAGCTTTTAAATTAATTGGGCAAAAAAGCAGTAATCATGGTAAAAAGAGGTATTTACGAATGAGATCAGATCGCCATCCCTCAGCAAACCCAAGCCACAGAACCCACCACCCAAACCCAACTGCTATCGGCAGAGCACAAATAGCAGCAATTTATTAGTATATCAGCATAGTTTTAGTTGCATTACTGTCCAGAGACTCTTCTTTAAAGAAGTTGCACATCTCGGTTGTAAATGATGTTTTTGTTGCTGCAGTCCTTGTGTACAGAGGCACCGAGTCGTGCCACGTGTGTGTGTTCTAGCATTCACATGATGAAGAAGAGTTGGCATGATGGAGCATGAGCTGCTTTCCATTAAGAAAAGATATACAAGTCTTGTAATTTTTGAGGATACGTACATTGGCCATATTAATCTTTTCCTGTCACTTAGAATTAATTTAAAATGCTTATTTCATAAAATTTCGGTTTTAGAAGTTAAAAGCATAGATAGCTGGTGTATGCCATGGTTCAAATCTGTGCTTACACACCTCACTTCGATTGACTGTCTCTTGTTTTTATTATCTGTTCCGGTTGTAATTCAACCTTCATTACTTTCCTCCATAGTTTTTAAAAATATGTAATTTTTTTTCTGAAGTGTAATGAAAAAAGGAAGGCCACTTTTCTGTGTTATGAAAACCCCTGTATATTCTTTGTAGTTTTCCCCTCTGACAATGCCTCACAACTACATGATCAACCTAAAGAACTCAATACCATTCGTGTTGGCAGGTTGCAGTGTAGGGCAATTCATCATTTCCCTGCAAACTTCTTAGATTCAGCCAGCCTCCTGAAATTCAATCTCATTCACCGTGTTCTTCCTGACTGTGAACTGATTTCAGAGGAGGAGATGCTGTTGTTCTCTTCCACTGTGCAGAGTAAGTGCTAAGGTCTGGAATAAAACACAGCGAAGGGAACAACTAAGGCATTCTGTGAGTCTGAGAACAAAGTTTCAAAATGGGAAATGAGCACCTTCCCATCAGATTCAAGTGCTTGAGCTAGAAAAAAGCTCCAGACTGTGTGTAGATGTTATGCTTTCCTAAAGTATGGGATTTTTGAATGAGACGGTGATAAAATACTGCAAAACGTTACAAATACATTGCCTGCCTTCATAGTTTGTTAATGTGTCAATATTCCTAATAAACTCTTGTGTAATCCCCTGCTATTCCATTTCTTGAACACGTATTGGGGAACTCGGGTGTTTGCAGTGAAGCTTACAGGAGGCACAGCAATAAGAAAACTTCTCTTTGCATTGACTGAATGACAAACTGGGATGGGCTTTTGGGAGGAGGGAGGAGGATGAGGTGGTCCCTGAGGGCAGAAAATGGTAAAACTTCACTCCTAACTACTGATTTTTTTTTATTTTTTTCTTCTATCCAAATGCATCAGAATGCTTTAAGTGACCTCAGCCTCATCCCTGTGCTGCTAAAAGCCCTGTGCTGTTCTGTGCTAAATAGGGAACTGAGACAGGGAAGTGACTGCATCACCACGTCCTTTACAGTCTTGGTTTAAGTCAGAATGAAGCTGTGACCTCCCAACTTAGAGCTCTTTGTAATGCCAAGGCAATGAAAACGTTTGACAGTTTTGATCCCTCCTTTTTTTCTGTCACATAACCTCAGTGTATGCATACATAAGAACACATCTTCACACAGAACTTGTTACCCTCTTCCCGAGTTCTTTCTGCAAAACTGTCCCTTCGTAGAAGAGTTGCTGTAAGGTTACATTCGAGGTTGTGACCATTCATTCTGCATTTGCTGCCTTTGTCTTCTCAGTGACTTACTCATCTTTTTATCAAGATACAGTAACTTGTGTCCTTTTCTCAGAGTTCTCCATCGGCTGTTGCTAGTTGTTCAGACTTTTGGTGATTTGATTTGTAGATAAGCATTTGTCCATCCCTGGCAGAGCAGTCTGTAGATCCTTAGTTCTCCTCCTCCTCCCCCCCCCTCAGATATATTTTGCTATTCAAAACCACCAGCACCAACAAAATTCAGCGCTGGATATTTTTGTAGTCCTCCTTCGTGGTTGCATATACATATGTGCTTATGCCTCCTTTACAGTGCTTCTTGGAGTGTTGTATTATTTGGAAGACACCTGACTTTAGTGGCACAAGCCAAGAAAATCAACGCATTAGCTCTTGATGCTTGTTGTAAACTGTCCGTACGTACACGTGGGTAGTTTCTGCATCACAAAGCGATGGTTTCTGGGTGTGCTCAACACACAAGAGAAAGAGAAGAAAATAAAATTTCGACTAAGAAATGCAAAGGGAATTTTCAGAGAAATGCTGGGTTAATGTTTCTCATCATTGCCGCATGCTGTTCTTGTTAGCGCTGTTAGAATTTATGAACTCTTAGCAAGAGGGTAACAGAACATTTACTTTTTTGGTTGGTGGTTTTGGGGTTTTTCTTGGTCTGTTTGGCACAGAACTTTATTTCAGAACAGGAAAGTCTGCAATCACATTTTTTTGAACAGCAGGCAGCAGAAATCAGTGTTGCTTCTCAGATTTTGTTATTTTGTGTGTTTTTTTTAATGCATCAGACAAGCTTGTTGTCTTTGACTGCAAACATGTTATTTAAAAAAGGAGCTTCAGGTTTCTCCTGTCCAGCACAAAGACGCGTGGTATGTTTGTGAACGTTTTTTGAGACGTTCAGTACATGGAGCACATGTGGTAGCAGTGGCTTAGGGAACAAACTTTTTTCTGGCACAATGCTGCCACTAGCAGTTTTTTTGCGGTATTACATGTGTTTTTAATCAAAGTCTTCACAAAGTGCATTTAATGGAAAGATTTTCATGTTGTTTATTAAGCAGAAAGGATGAAAATTGCTGTAACAGCTGGGCTGATGTGATCAGGAGAGACGATCGGAACTTTCTGGTCCCAGTAACCTGTGATTTAACTCTCAAATGTGAATGTTTTAAGAGCAGTCTTAGAAAGGTCTAGAGAACTGTAGTCCAGAAAAAACAAACGGTGCTTGCAGTTGCTTCATGCCAGAAGAATGTTAATTCCTCTTTAGTCCTTCCTCTCTTTCTTCAAGGGTTTTGCAGTGGTAGAAGGAATTGGCTACCAAGGGTTTCAAAGATAAACTGAAGCAGAGAGTCTGTAATAACTTGATCTAAAAAATTCTCTTTGTAAGTGGTGTTTACGCTTCAGTTTCCTTCTGAGAAGAAACAAACTGGTAGCTGGATCCTTACGTGAAAAAGGAGCACTTGAGGAAAGTAGTTTTGTGTGAATTCTGCTGCTGGTTGTGTGAGGTACATGAGCAGTCAGTCAGTCTGTTGTTACTGGGATGGAAGTGCAGCATCCTATTCTTCTGTGTAAAGGAGTGTAATAAAGAACATCTATGATTATGTCTGAATCCATCTGTCCTTCTGGGGAAAAAATCTGGTGTATCGTAGTTACAACTGTTTAGAACGGTTGCATTTGTGATACTACTGGTATTGTTTTTTCCGTGTTTGGCCATAAATACTTCTTGTTTGTAGAAATTAGCAGACTAAGATCATGCTGCATGAGGCCAAAAATTCCAATCCTCTTCTGACCCCTGCCACGTTTTTTTTTGTGAGTGAATAGATCAGTATCTGCTGGTCAGATATAGAGAGAGATACAACATGATGATGCAGTCCTAGGTTCCTGTTGCCTTTGAATTTGAAAGGCGTTCTGCCACTAGCACATTGCCTTTGTTTTATTGTCACAGAAATATGTTTTCTTTCCTTTTGAGTCTTGCCTTAGGTTTGTTTGTTTGTTTTTTTTTTCAGTGTGAATACAAATTTTATACTTTAGAAGATTGTGTCAGATGTGGTCTGATTTCCTTTTTAGTAATGCCTTTAGACCTTCTTTTTCAGAGTAAACGGGACCACCTCCTTATGAATGTCAAATGGTACTATCGCCAGTCTGAAGTCCCAGATTCAGTCTATCAGCATTTGGTTCAGGACAGACACAATGAGAATGGTAAGTTAGGCTCTGTAGAGTAAGGCTTTCTTTACTTCTACTCTGAATTTTAAGTTTGAACAGTCCAGAAAGCAAGAACACTTCTGCCTAGGGATATGAAGCAAGGACTGTTTGATGAAAACGGTGTATTAGAGGGTGGTTGATAGTGTTTCTTACCTGCCTTGTTTGTTCTAACTAACCATCGTAGCTATAATCAGATCTGTTTCTGGTATGGTTTAAATACTGTGCTGCATTATACTAATGCCTTGAGAGAATAGTGAAAAACATCCCATCCTTTGTAGGCCTTCTGGACAGTGTACTGCTATCTTACTGACTGAAGACCAAGTTATCTGAAGAAACGTGCATCTCTTCTATTTTTTGTGTGTGTGTGATTCTGCCATAGTGCCATGAGAACTATTGTTTTTTACATACATGCTACATTGCATGTATGAATACTTGCTGTGATTAATACTGCAGTAAGTGATGTAACTGAACCACTCGTAGCTGAGTTCCCCCTTTTCTCTTTGCAAAAAAAAGTGTGATCTTGGGTTTAATAGAAGCAGGAGAAACTTTAGTACATATTCCAGTGTCATTTATCTCTTGCCTCTAGGGGAGACATAACATTTGCTTCTATTCTTACCAGGAAATTTCCTTGAGGCAACTGCTAAAATTCTGAAGGTACTCCAAGGTGAATTGTGATGATAAAAGTTGATCCTTGAAATGTGGAACACAGCAACTTTTCTGTGCATGATAGTGTAAAGTTGAGCCCACATTCTCCTTTTTGCAGGCATTAAGGATGTTTTATGTGTGTGTTTAGCAAAAGCTGCACAAACCTAACGTTTTCCTTAGTAATTTATTTGAAACTTCTAACTATGGGATTATAGGCACAGCATCAAAATGAGCATTTTTGGTAATGTGGCTGCTTTTTTTTATGTCACACTTCTGTGCACGTGGAGAAGTATTTTTGTGTGGTCTTCAAAGGTATTATAAAGAGGTCATGGAAAAAGTTGTCTTCCAGTTTTTTTGTTAACACTGAGAATTTTCTGTATTTGAACACGAATGTCAATATTTATCTGAAAGCCACAGCACTGAGCAGTTAGTACTGTCAAGATTTTACTGAGGATTTAAGATTACATGTGCAAAACAACCAAGATCTTAACCTGGAAACCAGAAGTCAGGGATAAATTAATTTGCTTAGTTCCTTTCAGTTAGGAATGACCAGTTCTAGTGGTTAGTGGATGTCATCCAGTACCCCTAAAAGCTCTTTCCCCTCTTTATAAATAGCAAGGGAGAATTCACGTGTAAAAAGGGTATCCCGCTATTTCCATACCTTACAGGTCATGTAAACAGCTTAACACTGAGGAGTCTCTCTTGAAGAAACATCCTCAAATTTTGACCTGTTAAAAAGACCTGCAAAATGGCAACGGTAGATGCTTTCACATTACGGCTAATGTGTTGGTGCTTTTTTTGTTTGTGTTTTTGCTTTCTGGCAGACTCTGGACGAGAGCTTGTTATTACAGACCCAGTTATCAAGAATCGAGAGCTCTTCATTTCAGATTACGTTGACACTTACCACGCTGCTGCCCTCAGGTAAGTCACAGAGGATGTGGTGCAGCGGCTCAGAGGTGGCTGAGAAAAACCTGCTTGAGAGCGGGGTGCTTTTTCTGGTTTTCTGTGGGGATCATTAGCATACCGCTCAGCTTTCTCCTCATCTCCTCCAGTAATTAACTTGTTATCTGTTCTCATTCAAAAAGGAGCTGTAATTCTACAATCTCGTTTTAATCTCAGTTAATCAATGTTGCTCAGAAGATATTGTTTCCCATCGTTGCCAATTTAGGTTATTGCTAGTTCCCGCAGAAATACTACCCTTCCCTCCTCTGTGTTTGATTTCACTATTAACAATAGCATCTCCTAGCAAAGTGACTGTTAGTATGTCGCCCTGATTAAATTGCGTTAAAGGCTTTTTCTCTGAGGCACTTGTCATTGTTGCAGCTCAGCTAAGAGCTCCATTAAAAACTAGCTGCACAGACAGGAGGTAATGGACCCCTGTATTGTTCTCTGTACTGTCTGCCCTTCCCTGGAGGTTGCTGCTCTTTTTACTCACTGAGTTTTTAACTTCAGTGGCTAACCTTTGACTAGGCTGAAGGGACACACCATTAGTTAAAAATGTTTTCAAATAGAAACAGCGAGGCATTATTTTTCAGCAGATTTTTCAATATGCCAAACATGCATGGATATTGTCAAAATGCAAATTGAATAATCTCCCTGATAATAATGCTCAGATGGTGTTTCAGTAGAACCATCTGGAGACATTTTTTTGTTCAGAGTCACTTTGCTGAAGCCACTTACTTCAAGACAAACTAGCTGCAACTTCTATTATATGGGTGGGAAGAAGTCTTTGATTTACAGATTAGACTTTTTTTTATATAAACTCAGAAAATTCCAGTGGTGTACAGTAATCTCATGAAATTCCACAGGGCCTTTTCTGAGTTACAGAAGGTCACTTTCCAATTTTAAATCAGCGTGCTTAGAAACAAGCTAGCAGGAGGTTGGCTGTCTTGATGGAACCAATCTTGGAAAACTGACTCTGCTTTAACAGAGAAGCTGAACTGTGTGGATGGAATTTTCCCTGGGAGGATTTTAACTTCTCTTCAACATTCTTTCTGTGTTGTTTTGTTGTTTTTGTTTTTGTTTTTTTTTCTTTAAAGAAAGGATAAAAGTGGAAAGATAAAAATAGAATGTATGTGTATACCAGGCAAGCTTGAAAAATAACCTTATCTTCTCCCCTTCCAAAAGGAGTGAAGGCTGCTGAGAGGCCAAACTGCTTCCTCGATGTGTCTTGTGCTTCATCTGCATTGGTTTTGTTTGGAAGTTCGTACCACAGGCACCTTTCAAATCGCCCTTTTGTTTCTTTGTTGGCTTTCCCCGTTGTTTCATTGTGTTCTGAATTGTTCATGCTTTTAATAATTCTTACAGGCTTGTAGATGAGATGGTATCTAAAGATGCTGATAATTGAGAGAATGTATTTCTGCAGGATAAAGATTATATTTTTGTTGATTCTTTTCTAGCAAATTGTGATTAATACGTGCAATTTTCAGTGTACAAGATGAACATAAGGGTAATTGCACGTGGAGGTCTAACAGTTAGAGAACACAGACTAGGCAGTAGGTATTGTGATGCGTGAAAGGAGGGTTAACATGAAATTCTAATTTATTCTAATCCAAGATTATTTTTCTGCCCTCTGCAAACAAAATGGCTCTGGTCACACAATGAATTGATGACAAACTGGAAAATAGAACCAGTGATTGTAACTACTAATCTTCTGCTCTAACCAGTAGAAAAAATTAACTTAGAGGATACTCATAGATCCCTGTGGAAGTCTGTAATAAAAGTTATGTTCTTTTTACCTATGTGGTAAATCTTTGTCGTAATGCATAGTGCTACTTGTCTGAAATGCTATGAACAAGATGTACTGCTTTCATGAATATAGATAATATAAGCTTACCTGGAAAATGCTTGTTAACAGTGAGATGAATTACTGAAGGAAACGAAATATTTTCCCCAAAAATACTTTTAAAATTTGAATTTAATTTGAAATGGCAAAACAAATACCCCTTCTCATTTTTCTTTCTTTCTAAATGACTAAACTCAGAAACCAGCTTCAGCCAACCAGGGATAAAATAAATAGTAGTGAACAAGTTTGTCTTTCAGTATTTCTGTGTGACATCTCAATTATGGACCTTGTTAATGTTCCATGACAACCTGGCGTGACCCCTGCAATATCCAGTGTTGCTTTGTCCTTTGCTAGAAAGGCAGTTGACTGAAAATTAGGCAATCATAGGGACAATTATGCAGCCTCAGCTCACAGGATAGCCGTATTGATTTGGTCTTAAAACAGTCAGCAACTTTATTCATCCTTCATCCTTTTGGTGTGTTGGTTTTTTTTTTTTTGTCCTCGCCTGTAGTAGTTGATGTTGTGGATGGGCGAGCTCATGTTCCATGGCAGGTTTGCAGTGGCTGTTGATTGGTAAAGTCTTGTGGAAGCACTATACCACGAAAAGGTTAAGAAGGGAAGCAAGCTTAGCGCTTCTACCTCCTGGTGCAGTTTTTCAAGTATGCAGGGCTTTAAAGCTCGGTGAGAAGACAAGGCAAATGAATCCAGTAGTATTACAGGCTAAATAATTATTCATCTTGGTGTACTGGTGGCAACAGCACTTCTCATTCAATTTTAACCAAGGCTGGCAAACCTTTTTTAAATGTTAAATAAGTCCCTTGGCTTATTTATAATAGCAAATACTATTCAGTGAGTACAAGTGAAAAGGGATGCTATCTATATTAACACTAGAAAGCTTGAAATACTGAAAAAGAGCAAAATCTTGTGCTTTGTTTATTGCATTGAATCAGCTTTAGATAAAAAGCACTAACTCTTGGGCTGTCTGGCCTGTTTGTCTCTGCCCGCTTCTGATCTGATTTACTTGGCGGCAGTAAACTGCGACGCATGGAATGACAAAACACGAGCAGCTGTCGAACATTAACAGTGCAACAAACCCTTGAGGAAATGAGATGCAACTTCTTACAGCTAGTCTTCATGCTTAAGGATAATGACTTCATCAACAAGCTATATTAAAAAAAAATTATTAACAGTCTGTTGTAGAACAAGATAATAAATCCTATTTTCCTTGTTTTCTTCTCTTTTTTTAAAAAAAATGTCTTTGTGTGTTTTACTGTCTTTTGTGTGGCCGTAGAAGGAAGAAACTTTAGAGTGCTTGGAATTTGTATTGTTAAGATTGCAATCCTGTGAAAAACAGCCTAGCTTTGCTTTTTATTTGGAAGTATTATTAAACTGAAATTTTATTTAGCCTTCTAAATAAAAAGCTGGCTTCCCAAATAATACGATTAGTAGAATTTTGGAAGCTTCCTTGAAGATGTAAATGTAATAGGACTGTAAAAACTTTGAAAATAAGACATCTTCAGGACTGTATTTCTAGGGTAGATATTGTCTGTTCGTCTGATTAAATTTGGGCTCTTCAGGACTGTGTGCTGGCTGAATGAGAATTAATGAATGTTTGTAGAATACCATCTGAGACGCTGTAACTGAATTTTCTTCCCTTTCCACCATGGGAAGAATCTGCACGGTTATTTGTTACAAAAGGCTTTTATTTATGATGTTTTAGACATTTATGAGAACACAAGGATGTCTGTGGCTTATGCACAGATTGCAGTGGCACTTAATTAAAATAGTTGTTATTCAAGATAGAGTTCTAATACCATTTTCCCCTCTTTCTTTCAGAGGGAAGTGTAATATCTCCCATTTCTCTGACATATTTGCTGCTAGAGAGTTTAAAGCCCGAGTGGATTCATTTTTCTACATACTGGGCTATAATCCAGAGACAAGGTAAGTGACGTGACTTTTCAAGGCAAGCTTTACTGCTGATCTGAGCCTGTAGGAACAGGAAAACTACTCAAGGGGAAAAAAGTTAACATTAGCTATGATGCTGGTAGGAAGGTGGGGTGGCAGGGAGTGCGAGGAGAAGCTACATCTTCCTGCTGAGTGTGTGTATAGGAGGAGAATTAGCAAATAATGAAATTGTGCAGTGAGCCATGACGTCTGGTTGCATCTTTGGGTAAATAACATACTGCTTCAAAAGAGGTTTTCTAAAACTGTGAAATGTTTTTTAAGGGTTGCAAACATTCGCAGGAATTCTTAGCTGTCTCATTGGCTAAATGCAGACCCCTCAGAATTATTTTTGAAAATACATTCCCATCTTCTAGTAAGCAGTGCTGAAATGAGGTACTTTAAGAAACCGAGTTGAAAGTTTTAAAGTGTGGAAATTAATGGTTTTGTGTGTAAATACTTATAGAGGGTCCATATATCAACAATTCCTAGTTTATGCTTTGCTGGCCGAGAGCAAGTTAGAAGTACAGAAAGAACTCTTGGGGAATTACTACCTCTTTGAAGAAGGGTGTGTTCAGCATGCTCTTTCATTCTGCAGTTCCTTCAGTCTGCCTGGGAGTTGTCCAACCACTCTTTTATCAGCTGTGTTTGTAAACCAAAGCTGGTACTAGACTGTACCTTCATTATTCTTTCAGGTCCAAACCACTGCGCTTTTTTTTTTTTTTCTCCATTTATGTAGTTTTTTAAACACAGAGGATGCCTTACAAATACCAGCCTTAAAGAGTTTGTTGTCTAGTGGCATATTTCTATGAGCACATGAGTAAAAGATTGCTTGAGTAACAGGGCTCAGCAAGGTCCGTGCCACCTGGAAGTGGTATTGTTTCCTTCAGTGCAGAAAACATAATTAGCGATGGACCTTGACTTCTAGAGATATTGTTGAAAAAAGTATTAAGTGGGGATTAGCTAGGCAGATAAATAATAAATATTCAAATTGTTCCATGGTAGATTTACTGTTTTTAATGCAGATATGAATCTTTATGCTTAAGGGCATCGCCAACCACTAACTGCTTGCAGTTAGGAAGAAACTCCCTGTGTGGGCATATAATTATGTAATTGCTCATTTATGAGGCTTCCTGTACCTTACTCTGAAGAGTCTTAAACTGTCCATATGTCTGGGACAGGGCACTGGACTAGGTAACCTCGCTTAACCGATCCAGTTTACATTCAGCTGTTGTCAGTGTAAGTCCTTAGGAAGCAATCTTGCTCTAGTGTATGGTGCTGAGCTCTGGGAAAAGGACGTGAAATCCTTTAATGTTTTAAAATGCAATATTTTAAAATCTTTTTGCAACATCATTTGTGTGGGGTTTTTCTTTTTTTGAGCAGTCCATCAGGGCAAGGCATGTATGAAGCCTGTTGTGATGCACCTCTCTGATGTTCAGCACCATGCTTGACCCTTCTATTTAGCACTTTTTTTCAATGCATTTTAGTTTTGAGGGCATAAATGCTAAACGAACTATTTGTACTAGCGTTCCAGTTCTGTGTTTAATGGATGACTTCTATAAAACGCCATTTATGCGAGTTGTCAGTGCAGTCTTAAACCTACCTTCTGTGTAGAAGTAGCTCTTAATTCTTTCAGCTATTAGGAAATGACTGAGCCTGGAAAGATCAATAAAATGACGAAGTATAGCACTTAGTGATCAGCTAATTAGTCAGACTAGCCAGTTCTCAAAATGTAGGTTTTTCTTCATTTGGTTGCAGCCGGTGTTTGTTATTTTAATTCTAGCTCTTCAAGTCTGTATTTTGTCTTGGAATGGGGGGGTGGGGGTGGGGGGTTAGCCAAAGGAGCTGAGTCTAGGTGGCTTGATTATTTTCTGTGTTTGCTACTGCCTTACAATGCATGCTGCTTTAAATTCCTAATTCTAGATTGATTTTACTTTTGGAATAGAAGTGTTATAACGTGCGTTTCAGGATGACCTGTTGGTGGTTTGTCTATGAAAACAAAACTTCATCTTCACCTTGATTAGCTTTTCCGATGTAGTGTTTGTTTCACATGAAAAGGATGGGAAATGTTCATGGTAGCTTGAAGTAATAGTTTGTTGCAAATGAGGTTCTGAGTACAGCAGTGTGACCCCCTCAACTGATCTGTAGAAATGTGTGGTAGGATACATTATTAGACCAAACAAGCTTGAGCAGTAGATTGCATCTACAAAGATGTACTTCTGTTCGAGTGGGTTTGGTTTGTGTTCAGCAGAAGATGCTCATCACTTTTCCAGGACTCTCAAATGCAGTTCAATGGTTTGGGAATCTGACTTTTCTTCTCTGTTTTCATATGTTCTATTTGCAAAACAATCTGCAAAAATCCCAGACCCCCAAACCATCCAAAACACTGGTGTGGTGGATGTGTAGTAAGAGGCCCTTTTGTTCTTGGAGCACACCGTGCTGAAGGAAAATAGCTTTGTCCTTTTCTTTTTTTCCTGTTTGGAAGCTTGCTTGAATATAGCTTTAGCTTGGGAAATATCAACTGTGATCCTACTGTTGGTCATTCTGCAGTCTGGAAGTGGTAAACCTGTGTGCTTTGGGATAACTTTTTTTCTTTACAGTGTGTATCTATCTGGGAGTTTTTCTATAGAGTTTGGTAAAAGATTACATGCTTTGTTTCAGTAATTCTGACATCAGTGAGAAAAATCTGATTGTGGAATAAAAAACCTAATCTTAAAGCTAGAGGTTGGGTGTTACCACCTTGAATAAAGCGTTAATCAAGCTTGTAAGTAGACCTGAAATATGTTCCTGGCTCTCAAGAGTGGGAATACATCTGCGAACCTTGTATAGCCAGCAGAGAAAGGAAATTCATTTTATGCTAAGTACATTAAAATAATTAATTTCATGTCTCTTCAGAGAAGTGATTGCTCTGACACTGATTCTACTACCATGGAATCCACTCAAACTTTTGAGGCTCCTCAAATGGCCAGACGAGACTAATGCCTTATCAAAGAAGGGATCTTAAGTGAATTGTGCAGGCCCTGAAATCGGTTCAGAGCATTTCAAAGCGTATGGAATAGCAGTCAAGAAGCGTTACTGGATAAAGCAAACCAGACCTGATGTGCCAGTCTGGAGCACAGGTCTGCTGGGGAGCGGCTGGGGGAACTGGGGGGGTTCAGTCTGGAGAAGAGGAGGCTGAGGGGAGACCTCCTGGCCCTCGGCAACTCCCTGCCAGGAGGGGGCAGAGAGGGGGGATGAGTCTCTGGAGCCAAGGAGCCAGCGCCAGGCCCCGAGGGAATGGCCTCAAGCTGCCCAGGGCAGGGTCAGGCTGGCTCTGAGGAAGGATTTCTGTGCAGAAGGGGCTGTTGGGCGTTGGAATGGGCTGCCCAGGGCAGGGGGGGAGTCCCCGAGACCCCTGGAGGGGTTGAAGAGTTGGGCTGACCCATTGCTGAGGGATCTGGGGGAGTTGGGAACGGTCAGGGTGAGGGTCAGGGTTGGGCTGGAGGAGCTGCAGGGGCTTTTCTGACCGAGGTGATTCTGATTCTGTGATAGCACTTCAGAAAATCGGTAACTGCACCAGCTTGAGTTAAGCTGTTGATTTTGGTATTTGAGTCAGAACTCAGCTCTGCCTGTTAAGAAGAAATAATGCAGCAAGGCTTGGGAGAGCTCTTGAACCTGTCACTTGACCTCAGACAGCTGCCTGTCACCAGCTCATACCTTACCACTCCTTTCCTACAACCCTAGCTCCTGCCTGATCCGCCCGATGTAGCTGATTCTGGCAAGGACTTTTCCCAGTCCTTCCTTCTTCCTTTTTGTGCTCTGACATCCTGTATGGACTTACAGAAACAACTTTGAACTGTCTGACTCAAGGATGCAGGTATGCCAGATGCCACTATAGGTACTGGCCTGGTTTTGTAGCGTACTGGCACATACTAGTCAATCAGTTCTTGAGTAAATAAAGACATTGCAGAGTTTCGACACTGACATCTGTAAATATACACAGATTTAAATGCTACTCAATTTTTACTTGGAACTAGAAAAAAATCAGATATTATTCTACCAACATTTCTCATGGCTGTGAATCAAAATTACTCTCCACAACATTGTTTTGCATTATAGAACAAAATAATACCAAACATTCAAGGCATGGGTGAATTTTCTGAATAGGTATTTTGGGAAGACCAGGATCTTGTCTGTGTTTTTATTCCACAAAATTTGTTTTTTATTCTTAATCTTTTTCTTCTGAAGTGTTCTTGTTGGGGAATGTTGTAAGCTAAATGTTGGTATGCCTGAGAGGAGTGTTCCCCAAAGTGAAATTGAAGTTGACTTGCTCTCTTTTTTTTTTTTTTTTTTTTTTTTTCTTTCATGGCTTACTATTTTGTTGTCTGGTAGGGGATTTCTGTTTAAAGTCTTCATCAAGAGCCTGTTTTTGTTTTTTTCCTTTCAATGAAAGTGTAGTGGGTGGAGTACAAGTTTCACATCTAGAAATGGAGAAGACCAGTGTGGTCTTCTCCATTACAAAATCAAGAAGCCAGTGTGGAATTGTGTGTAAGTAGGGTTTTCAAAGCTTCCTCTTAACGTTGCCTTTATAAAAAATTGTGGTTGAATGATAAATTGATATCTACAACCACAATGCAAACAGAGGCTCAAGAGGACTGCAGAGCTCTGTTTTGCTATTTTGATCTTTTTTTTTGGCTAATTTTTAGCAGTCAGAATATTTTGATTCTATGCATATAATAATGCCTAGGGCAGTGATAGAGGATGAAATGATCATAACGGTTTTTAAATGTATCCAACCTTATGTCTCAAATCAGAGCCTTAAAATGAGGTTTATTAGGCTCACTCTTAGTAGAACCTTGAGAGTTTGGGGTGTACTTGTTTAAACAAGAAAATTCCTACAGTGTATCACAAGTCTAATTTTTTTTTTTTTTTTAAATAGGTTTAGCAATTTTATGAGGAATCCTCCTGATGGGGGAGATTGGGGACTGTTTGCATGGTATGCCCATGTGATGTGAAACAGA